CAATTAAAATATTTATTTTATATCTCCGATAGAACCTATTATTTTACACGCTAATTTGAGTATATAAACCGCTACTAATCTTACCGAATAATTCGCTATTAACTTAGCTACTATATATTTTACTAATATAATTCAAATAGAGGCATTAATTCGATTCGTAGTAAAATAATAATAAAAACGTTAATTCGAATAATCCGTTCCGATTATAGCCGACACTTTTCCAATTTATTTTATTAAACCTCCCTAATATATTACTCGTACTATTTAAAATAATTTAACCCTAAGTACTATCCGTACTATTAATTAAAATTAGCGTATAATACTATTATATTATAGTATTATAATTAGGGCCCGAAACTAATATATCGCTAGCGTTACCAATGAATTATAATATCTTTGTATTAATTGCAATAACCGGCGGCCCTTAATAAAAAATTTATAAAATTTACTACTTTTTAACCAACTATTTATTAAGAAGGATAGAAATTATTATCCGAGTACGGATTATTTAATAATTTACATATTAGTAACCGGGATACATTTTATTCCGATTACATATAGTACCATAATACCTGGTTATCTTACTTATTAATAAATTAAATAAACTCCGCCGCCTAATTACTATTCCTATTAATAAATTAAAAATATTATTCCTTAAACTCCTTTACTTTAGGTCTAAATTTTCTAATATTAAATCCCTAGAATTTCTCTTTAAATATAAAATCTTCTTCCGGTTTAACCTTTCGTTATTAACTATACTAAATTCTTATTTAGCCTATTAATCCGTAGTAGCCGACAGTATATTTCGCCGAATTTCTTTCCGTTAACTTTTCTTACTATTCGGCTAATTTTAATAGTAACGGTATAATATCGAACTCTAGAGCGCTTAATGAAATTATGCTTAATTTATTAAAAAGGATTAATTAATTTAAAAAACTAAATTAACAAACGTTCTTATATACTTAATAAGAATTTTAGTAATAAAATTATTTAATAGAAACTCTTTAACATCGAAATATTCTATCCTAACGCAGATAAAAATAAAAAGAAGAAAAATATTTATACTAATAGTAAAATTAACGTCTATACTAATTATAAACTTTTTCTCAACACTATTTACGGGACTTCGTTTATTTATACTAAATATTATAAAATTATTACTAATAATATTTAAATATTATTATATAAAGCCGCCCTCTCTTAGTAAATTAATACGCTTTCTAATTTTAAACGTAATAAATTTTATAGTAATCTTGATAGGATTATTAACGCTTTTGATTAAATTTTCGGAGTTAAGCTTAAGAAAGCCTAAAAATAATTAAATACGTACAAATTTATTACGGAAATACATAAGAAAAACAATTACGCTCTACGTAATTATTCTATAGAAATATTTATATACGTTCGTTTATAGGGTAATAGTAATAATTTCTTACTTTATATTGGCTTATAGAATAATTTATACCCAAAATTAAAATCCTAATTATATTATACCGTAATATAAAAATAGCCCTAGAAAAAGCTATTAAACTATATAATAATAATAATCATATATTCGTTAATTATATCCCTTCCTACGCTTAATTATTCGCCCTCTAATGTTATAATTATAAGGGTAATTTTAACGAATAAATTAATAATTTCCTAGCGCATTTAGAATATTTATACTCTATATAAATTAATATAGTTAAAAATAAATATATTATTAATACTATTATTAATATTCCTATTAAATTTACTACCTATATTAGTATTCCTATTAAATTTAAACAAACCTTATCTTTTCTATAAAATAATTTATTTAATTCTAACCACTACTAATCAACTGTAGTAGAGGAGCTACGTAATAAAATAGTTAAAATAAATAAAAAAATAAAAGAAATACAAATTTAGCACGTTGAATATTAGACCTCTATTCCCTATAGCTTTTAATTAAGTATATTACCGATTTTAATATTAACTTACCCTATTCGTTCCAATATATTACTATGTATCGCTCGGTTTAATATAATATCCGCCTAATTTACTTCCTACTTTAATATTTTATTTAAAATCCGCTCGCTTTATTACCAAATACTAAAAATTTAATAGACTAAGGAAAATTCCCCTTCTACTAATTGTAAACATTCTTATCGTAAGGGTAATATTTTTTCATATTTTAACGAAAACTACCGCGAATTCGAAAAGGATTATAACGCCTATTAACGGCGGATAGTATAATTATTATATAATATTCTTGAAAGTTTTAGTTACAAAAATTAGGTATTATAATAATAAGTCTAATAAATATATAGTATTCTTCTAAGAATGATATAAATACGGTTAAGTACTAAATTTAATATTTATAATAATTAAATTTATTAGGATAGATATTAAAATAATAGATAATATTAAAAACGATAACGATAGTCTTTATAATTTATTTATATTTAGCGTTCTTATTAATAGATAGTAAATACTCTTCTCCTTCCTTAAAACGGGAAATATTAGGAAATATTCCAAATAATACCTAAATATTTCTACCCTATCATAATACATATTAAATTAAGCATAAGTATACTTATTTAAGTATATTATAATATATAAGAGTACTTACCCCGTCGGTCTCTATTAAAATTAACGGATTAATTAATTATTACTTTATAACCTTTTATCTATCTTACTCACACTCTATAAAATCGTATATAAAATTCTAAGTTGAGGTTCTCAACAATCATTATCTTTGTTTCCTTTAATAAGACTATCGCTAATCATTACGCACTATTACTCTATCTAATAACCAGTTACTCACTCTCTTATTCTCTATCAGCATTATTTATGAAGTATGTCTTCACGTAATATTTCGGTCGTTGTTATACATATAATTATACAGCTATTCCTCGATATCTAATAATAGCTCGTCCCTTTATATAGGAAATAGCCTAGTAAAGGATTAGTAAAGGTTTTTAAACTTCTTCTCATTTATATAGATAAATAAAGCTATATCTATTTTATTAGTAGTAAAATAGTTACGCCTTATATTCTCTAGGAAATTTATAATAGAGAAGGTTCGCTTACAAAGTAAACTATTAATTGGTATATTAAATACCCTAATTACTATCGAAGCAATAATAGAACCGTTATGTTAAATAATACTCTACTACATTTTAAAATCGAAATTCTAATAATCTTAAATACGCTAATTAGGTACGTATATAGCCTATCGGCTAACTACGCAAAGGATTCTTAATACTAACCGTTATATTAACGTATAATTCGAGTAAAAATATATAATACGGGTTACGTACATAGAATCGACTATACAAATCTATATTATAACCCTCATTAAATAATTATACTGATTTAATTAATTAATAATATAAATAAAATAAATAAAGGATATCTCTAATAAACTTTACTAAGATAGAAACGAACTTACTACAATATATTATTATTAAACTACGGAAACGGGCCACTTATAACTTAGGAATACGAAAGAAAGTACTAATACTAACAATTTAATAACTTAGTAATCAAAATAGCAGTATAATAAATAAATCATTTATTAATAATTAAAGCGAATATAAATCATATAATACTAAGAAGGCGGCGTTAAAACGCCTAAATACTAATTTATATATTAATCTCCGAGCGGTAATATATATATCGGTAATAAAATTATTAATTTTAGTAGGGGTATTGATCATTTCATTACAAATCCCAAAGACGAGGCCGGCGAAGTTCATTATAAGATGCTCGGTAATTTCCGTATACCAGTTAACCTAAAAAAAAAAGAAAATTTAATTTATAATACTAAAAAATAATACATTAATAATACGCTTACCATTATAATTACCTAACTCATTAAAGAATATATTAATATAATCGATAATTTTAATATATCGAATCTTAATTTACTATTTCATTTCTTAATAAATAATAAAGAACTACTTATTCACTAATACGCTCGCATTAGGAAGAATATAATAAAGAGCAAAGGTATAAAGAAAGGCCCTTATAAGCGATAAATTAAGAAGGTTAAAAGGCCGCCCATTGAGGAATATAGTTTTAACCGCGTATTAATCGATCTTTTTCTTCTAAGCTCCATTAAACGCGACCGCGTACTATCTAATATCCTTATAATATTCAATAATTTAACAAATACAATATACTTAATATTATTAATACTTATTGAAATAAGCGCGCAAGCGGGTAATATTACTCGCTTAATGATTATTATGGTAATTATACTAAGCGATCTATATCGTACAGCCGGGTTCATTCCATAAAGTAAACTCTCTAAATATAGCTTCATTTCTAGGGTTTCGTAGAGGGGGCATAGTATTAAAAGTAGCAATACAATATAAAAATACTTATTGATATAATGAACAGTAGAGAAATAGCCCAGTTGATGCCCAATATATGCCCAATCTAGGGGGTAGGGAGGGGAGGGCACGGACTGTGGCACGGACCATCGTTTTAGCGGTAATAACTGAAAATATAAGGGTAAGGAAAAAATGGGATACTTTCCGTTCCTATCGAATACTAGGAGCAACGGCCCAACACCCGACTTCGGTGATGGCCAACATCCACTTCCCCATGACATGGGACTTCATCACAGCCGCGGAGGAATGGTTTTGATACTTGTTTACAAGCTGGCTACATATTGAGGACCCGAAAAATAAGGCAACCGGAAAAGATCACCTGGTCTACGGAAGGCTCGCTTACCTGCATGCTTCTTTTGCGGGGCCGAGACATGATGCTTTGTTGCCTGGTCTTAAATTCCCGCTCATGTTGTACGAAGTCTTTGGACTGACAGGTCGTACGGATCCATGTGTCTGCTGTCTGGTGCAGGTCGGAAAAGACATGTTTGAGGTAACCATCTGTTTTGGTACTTGCCAGTGTGGGTAGGATTGGAGGAATGTGTTGTAAGGAAATAATCAGTTGGTGAAGTTCAAACTCTTGACAAGGCAGTCAGTCGGAAAGGCATCTGTTACACATGAGATAGCACGGAATGAAAAAAATGTTTGGATCCAAAAACATAGAGGTATGTATGTACTCGCTAATTAAGCTTTAACAACCATAGTAGTGACAGTAGTCCACTTGTATGTTCCTCAAGGGCGCCCTCTCATCTATTTCCACTCATGTCCTCATGATCGCATTCACTTCATCAACCCAGCAGCCTCCTTTAGACGCAGTTAGTGCACTGGCGGCACTGGATGTAATGAGCCGCATGACCAGCATCCTGGCCGCCATTGTAAGAGTACAAGTTGCTCTCGCCGGGGTAGGTAAGGATGGCGAGGCCGGAGCCGGTGCAGGATCCATCGCTAAAGTTCAAAGCGTTAGCATCTCTGTCATATTGCATGGAGGAAGCGGCGGCACGTACGCAAAGAGGCGGCAGATGGCGCCCTGGTCGGGGCCAGCAGAGCCAATGTGGCCATCATAGGTGGAGGGAAGCTTGGTGCAGGTTCCGCTGATGCCGAGGCTCAGGACCTGGCAGGTGTTGGTCCAGTTGGAACCGGTGCAGACGTAGACCTAGAGGAGGAAATGTGTGAGCTTCATGACTTTTAGATAGGAAGCTGGATGGTGAGCAAAGTTCAGGGACTACTAACATTGCCGGGAGTGCGAGCCACGAGAGCAGGGTGCTCAGCCGAGGAAGGAGCGGCGAGGACGGGAGAGAGGACGGAGAGGAGGGAGATGGTGATGGCAAGGATGGACTGCATTTTGGCGGTTGTTGGTGGGTTTGGTTGTGACGTTGAAAGTCGAGGAGGAGGATGTTGAGAGTTGAGAGTTGAGAGTTGAGTAGATGATGTTGTGACGATTGCTGTTGATGTTGTGATGAGTGAACTGACTTGATGAAGGGGAATCTCCTGATCTTTATACTCGATGAGCTAGGTCAATGCCGCTTGGTCTTCCCCAAAATCACAAAGCTATCGCCGGCTAAACATAGCTACGAGTCAACGACACGAAGCATGCTCATCAACCGTACTATCTCCACTACTTTTCCGACTGCGTCGCTTCAGCCACAGCCGTCATGGGCTCATGACGCCAATGAGACTCCAGAAGTGTGCTGGATCGGGATGGTAGCACGATCTCACATTCAGCTACAAACTGCAGTGAGATGCAAAAGTGAAGCAGCTTGCCGACGATATGACCCTCGTCCGTGGAGTATACGGACCGATGATCTCTCGTGGCTCGTGCTGCTTACTCAGTCAAACAATGTTTGGTTTGCTAGCCCAGAAGCGGGTTAGTGATCCTTTCAAGACCCTGTAGATCAGAAGACCAACGGATTGTCTGGAAGACAACAAACGTTAATTAAAAAGATGCATGTAGTGACATTGTAGGTGGATGAATGGTGCGTTTTCCATTGTAGCTTTGTGAGGTGCCTTTTCTTAGCGGTGCTTTTTCTTAGCCGCAAAGGATTCTTGAGAACGCTCCCGCCCCAGCCACGATTGGGATTGTTACACGGATGGAACACGAGGTTACTAAGCCGTCCTCTCGTGTTGTGGCTAGTCGTATGTCAACAACCGCTATTATTGGTGGGTATGAGCGAATGGGAAACACATACAGATATTGACTTCCCAAAAAGCACCCAGGAGCCGACGACATCAATAATATTAGTGAGATGCAGCAGATCACGTCTCCACTTTGGAGGAGATATCTCAACTTGTGGGTATCATATCGCTGTCTAGCGCTGACTGCGCAGTCGAGTGACGATGTGGATCTCGAAACTTGTTAAAACCGGGTATTCTAGGCAACACGGTTGACATGGCCAGTGCCAGAAGGATGCGACTCCTTCCACTGCTTTTGATGTTGCTGACTACTGCGCTTCAATAGTCCTCCCTCTTTTCGGTCAACACAGCGAGGGACAGGATACCTAAGTAAGTCGCAAGGGAGCGGTGGGTCGTGGATGCGGCTCTTCCGTCGTGCCAGATACCATGATCTTGAACAGTGCTTGTGCTAATCGCAACACGACCTTGTAACTAGTAACCGAGTTGTGACTTGAAATCCTCCCAGTCAACAATCGTCAAGACGTGCGAGATCTTGCCATGTTCGAGCCAATAAAAGGCATGCTCAGCGAAATGCACCCGGCGCCCATTGGGCATGGCACTACCAAAGGACTTGATGGGCAGCCCAGCAAATTCGATACGGACAGCAATCTGCTGCTTTGCCTCGTCAATGAGAACGGTCCGTGGAACAAACTGGAGGCCGGCAATGGCGTCAAACGCGTTCTCAATCAACTGGCCGTAGTGGTTCAGAGCCATCTCAGCACCATTCCAGACCACCGTCCCCTTGCAAAACTGGTGTAAGTCTTGTTGCATAGTTTTCCCGTTGATACATGCGATATAGTCGTCATAGAATTGTCGTAGGTCAATGGAAGAAGGAGGCGGCGGGGGCCTGAAGTTGGGAACCGGAATAATGTTGGGTGACTGCCGGCGCTTCTCGTCTCCGTCCACGATATCTTGGATCTCGCTAATTCTTTCGTCGGTAAAGTAGACAAACATGTGTCGCGCGTATTCGGTCTGCTTTCTTTGTGACGAAGCCGTATAGCCAAGACGAGTATGCGGTCCTTGTACGACAAGGTCCTTCACTTTCAACCTCGCTGCCACGGGCTCTTCGTCTTCTCCCGGTGTACCAGCAACGAGGGTGACAATTTCCATTTGGGTGTGGGATCTATGCGAGAATTCCTCTTTGAAGGTTTCCACAAGCTGGTACAGTGAAATGTCTTCTTTGTTGTACGTAATGGTCCCCTGGACTTCGTCGCTCAGGAAGCTCCATTGGCGTCGGTTGATGCGGTCAATAAAGGATCTGAAGCGCCTTTTGTTATCGATTTCGGTTGGCGGATTAAGCGTGACGGTACGTTCCGAATCGAAGGACGAACTTGTCAGTGGGAGAGAATCGGAAAACGAAGGAGTTTGAAACTCGGAGCCCAACTGTTCAAGCATCCTCGCGCGCCTAGCGGCAGTGTCCATGAGCTCGGACATGCCAAGAAAAGAATTGTGGAGGACTGGATCACGAAGTGGTTCGGGATCTTGACGGAAAGTTAGAGTGGTCGAGGGATTGTGCGACCGGGAGGGACCTTGCGAGGGCTCAAATTCATCATCACGCGCTGGCAATAGCGCGTCGTCTTCCTGGCGGGTTGAGATAGAGGAGCTTGAGATGAAGGACGAAAGAGCAGCTTGTCCCGACGCCGGTTCGTCCAGCGAGGGATCCTCTGAGGCGTGTGATGATGACATGGTGGCCTGAGTGCGTTGGTGTGAAAATCCTGACTTCGAGGATGGAAGTTGAGAAGAAGGGGACGGGGGACAGGGATGGGAGCTCGGGAGGCAGGATAGTGACACGAGACAAAGACGAGAATGACGGGATGGGTGGACCAAATGGACCCCGCTTCTGTCGCGCTTTCACGTGTTGATAAGGTTGATGATAAGAAACAGCGCGGGGGCCCGGGCCACCAGTTCCGACTCGTGTCAGAGGCCAAGGGATCCACCGGGCGTGCACGTGCCCAGCTGGATTGGGATATGCGGGATTTTTACCCAGATGCCAGAGCTTTAAGTCTGCAGAGCCAGTCTTATAGATATATATAATCAAGCCACGTTGAACCCATATTGATTATTACTAATAATATTACAATTAAGAGTCTTATTAATTCGACCGTTAAAATTATTACTAGTAACGACAACCGATTAAACGATTGCCAATAATGTCTACGATTAAAATTAATAGCGTTACTTTTAACGGCCCTAGGAATTGGCCAGCTTAGGAAGATACTTTTATTTTTATAGCCTAGGACCTAAGTCTTTAGAAATATATCAACCCAGATAATTACGTTCTTTAGCCAACCGAACTAGTAAAACCTAATATCGCTAACTACTAAGGGGAAATTCCCATTAGAGAAATTGAAGAAATTAAGAAGAATAGGGAGGCTACCCTATTTATTACTGTTAAACTATATAGCTTTTATTATAAGTACGACTACTATAATTATATAATTGAGAAATTGAATTAGCGTATAGAGGTTAAGACCTTTTCTAACTTAGGTATTAAGAAGATTATACTAAGTCGTTGGATGTTTAAAACCGTTAGAGGTAATTACTAGGAGATTAATTTTATTAAATATATTAATCTATACAAATAATATAATAATTTTGATAAATTTACTGCCTTTAACGACTGTAAAGTAAAGAAATTCGCCTGGGCTAAACTTATTAATATTTTTAAACCCCTTAGTAAAATTAACCGTAATTAATATAATTAGACTTTTTAGTAGGAGGCAGCTATAACCTTTTATATTACTAGAGGAATTATAAGAATAAATAAATTAAATTTATAGTTCCTAGAATTCTATATAATTATAAAATCAAATCATTATACCGCTCAGGTAAATAAGTATTAATTTTAATATAATAAAGAGATTAAAAGAAACTTCAATTTTAAAATGTCTTTCTATACTGTAACTAAGGACTTTCGTAAAATAGTAATAATGAGTATTATTTAGGGAAAGGGTTACGCCCCCCTATTTAAGGGTATTATATTCGTAATTACGTTAAGCGGTAAGTTTATTAAAAAGAACGTTCTTAATAACAAATAAAATTTTAGCCCGGAAATAGAGGGATCGGGAGAGGCTATAAATAAAAACGGTAAATTTAGGAAGAATAATGATAGAAATAAGCGTACTTTTTCTTCGTTCTTACTAGCGAATAAACGACTACAACAATTTCTATATAAATTTATAAATAGCCGGGCTATAATTTAGATAAATATTATTATATTAGGTTATAGTTAGCCTACGAAAGTTAAATCAGAAGTTTTATTATTAAAAAACGTACGCTCGCTAATTTAAAGAAGGATAAAATACTTAAAGAAGCCGTTAATTATTTACGAATATAGTAGGACAACGAAGATTAAAATAATTAATTCTATAATCCTTAAATAAGTAAAAATAATTCTTTAATACTTATAACGAAATGTAGGGCTATATACTTATTAAAAGATTTTATAATCTTCAATTTAGGTATAATAATATATATTTTTGATAAAATTAGACGTTTCGAAAATTTTATTTCTTTAAATACTAATAATTACGTATAGGCGGGAAATAAAGGGATTCTTATAGAAGAATAAAATATTATTATAATTATAGTTTAGGATAACGATAGAAATAGAGAACTCCAACTCTCTAACATCACTTTAATATTAGTTATAGCCTATGATTTCGTATTCTTAAAATAATTTTAAAATAAATAAATGGATTAGGACTATAAAAATAGTTATTTACATTCTCGCCTTCTAAATTCCTTTATTTATGATATTCTCTCTAAATATAAAAAATTTATTTTAAAATATATTCTTTTATAAAATAGCGTCAACGAATCTTGTTTTACTATACAGTATATGAACTATATTAAGCGGAAGTCCCAAAAAAGTAAGCCCCTTTATTAGTATCTTCAATTTAACTACCCGGGACCTAAGATTTTAATTAAATTAACGGAATAAAAGTATAACGTACAATTTAAAGGACCGGATATAATATATTGCAAATTATATATTAAAACTAAATTAAAGCATTAAGTACGTAGAGAAATTCGTAATTATTTGGACGGCCCAAGATTACAATTAGTTATCGACTTCTTTTTTATATAAGGAAATAAAAGTAGGGGGTTAGAAATATTCAAATTTAATAGTAATTATAAATTAGTAGTTTAAATTCGTTTAAGTATATTATTTAAGTAATAGAAAAGTTGAATTTATTATTGCGTATTTAAAATCCTTTTATATTGATTTGGGGAACTTTTTCTATTTTTTTTAGTGTAAACTAAGGGGGTTATTAGAAATAGAGTAATTTGGATAGGGAGGAGCAGATCTGTTGGACTATCTCTCCCAAATTTCGAAGGTAAGCAATTATAGTAGAGATCTCTAGGGATAAAAAGGGTAGCACTCCTCCTTAAGACGAGAGGGAGGGAGGTAAGTAACTTAGACTAGATATTACTTCGACCAGCAGAATACACTCGAACTTCGCTCCCAAAAAGACTTAACCATTGAATTTTACTCGTAATCCCCTCCTTAAAAAATTAACTTCCCAATTTGCTCCTTACTCTAAAATAATTAATTTAAAGGTAAAGCTCTACTTCCCCTTCCCTTCTTTAATAGTTAATAGCTACGGTTTAGAAGCTTTATTTCAATAACTTCGTAAAATTATTTTTAACTTTTAAATTAATATTTTACTCTAAAGTTTTAAATAGGCTATTCTTTTCTATAGTAGTATATTTTTACGCTATTTTAAATAGTAATAAGGATGAAATAAGTTTCAAATTCCTAATTAAATTAATTAATACGAATACAATCAATTTCCGGCCAAGACTTTTTGTAAATGCGGAAATTATTTTTATAACCCTCGGGATATTAATTTAAACGCTAGAAATTAAATAGCGAGCAATTATTTAATTCCTTGGGTAAAGAAATTCTTTATTTAATTTAGTAAAGATTTTAATGCCGGATATATACGGATTTCCACTTCTTTAACTAATTTATGATTTACTAATATTAATTAATAAACACCCTAACCCTTTCCCCCCTTATAATTAAATTAAAAATAATTTAAATTATAAAACGAAATTAAGAAGAAATTAGATTAGAAAGATATTAATAAGAAAGTTAGATAACGAATTAATAATAAAAAAGTACGAAAACTAAAACGAAAGCGAAGAGTAAATCTACTCCTTACTTATTAAAACCCTTCAGTAGATAAATACTTACACCCTTTACGCCAAACTCCTCCTCCGACTAATCGGACCCCTATTCGGTATAATTATTATAATACTCCGAATTTTACTTTTAATTTCTATAGCATTAGGAATACTCCTAACTAAAGTAAATTATATTAATTAAAAAATAATCTTTGATAAGTTAAATAAGGGATTTCATTACTTTAGGTAATAATTAATAATAATACCCTAAATATTATGAAAAAATAAATTTCTAACCGAGGATGATAAAGACCGAATACTAATAATATAAAAATACTTATATAAAGAATATTATTTTAATAAAAGATATTAAGTTAACTCCTCCTTAATTATTTATTTCAATATTAATATTTACTCTATATATTTACTACTTACAAACTTTATTACTATTCCCGCTTCTTATTACCTCTTTACTTTTAATAATACCTTCCTAAGAAATATATTCAATACTATTATTAATATTTAAGATTTATTTACTCCTATTATTACAATATTTATTAACGTTACTATAGCCCTCTTTATTAATAACGTTACCTTTATTCGCGATATTATGTTAAAGAAGAATTCGATAGTAAAAAGGTCTTCAAATATTTAGAACTCTTCGAAAATAAGGTTGGCTTCTATAATTTCGTCGATAAAAAAGTTAAAATTAATATTTAATTCTAATAAATTAAAAAAAGCCTAAAAATATTGGTAAGAGTCTCTTCTGCTACTTTAAAGACGAAGGAATTTATACCTAGAAAGAATTCTCTAAAGTTTTTAAAATCGCTTACAAAACCAAAGACCCGGAGTAGACCGATAATACCTCTACTACCCTAAAAGATTTTTATAGTAAGTACGTCCCTTACTAAAAAAGTAAAAATCGTAAACGCTATTATTAGCTATTCCATCCTATTTGTTTATTAATTTTCCGTTAATTATAAGAATATTAATTAGCTCGCCATTAAAACCTTCTATAAAAAATTACACTTCAATATTTACTATATAATTACCACCTTTATATATAAATTCAAGGAATCCCTATACGAAATAGATTAGAACGATTTCTTTTAGGAATTAACTAAAGTCATTATTAAATAATTTAATAATATTGATACTAGCAAATCTTCCGGTTTTAATAGTAATAAAGGAAATAATTATTAAGAAGCGTAAAAGTAAGAAAAGAGTTATTAATTTAAATTCCTTTTCTAACTCCTTTGAAGACGAGCCCATTATAATTAAGAAAGTTACTACCAAAATTACTAAGCTTACTAAAAAGACCGTTATATTTAATAAAAAAGCTATAAAGAATTTCACTACCTAAATAGAGCGGCTAATTATTATTCGTATTAATACTTATACGCTCCCTACCTACTAACTTCCCCCTCCCGTTCAATAATTTAATACTTACTAATTCAATTATATTAAGCCCGCTAACGCCTAAATTAATACTATATTAACTTTTATCTTCTATAATATTAAATGTAATAAAAATAATTCTGATAATTATAATTTAAGCAGCCCTTACTAATAAATTTACTATTAATATAATACTAAGGCCTATTTCATTTACGAATTCAAATAAAAAGAAATTAATTATAATTACAGTATTATTATTTATAAATAGATTAATCTTTAAAAATTAATAAGAATAATAATTTCTAAAGATAAGGTATTAAATTATAATG